CTAACATCTATGTTTGAGTATTTTCAAAAATATTCATCTATGAATATTTCAAAAGACAACACATCCATGTATCGCTGAGAAATAAATATGCTTACCTTTGTCTCCCAAACTTCTGAATGTATTTTGTTGAATGTTTTTTAATCAGTAATAATTACTTTTGTTAATTCTTTTGGAAGATAGAGTGCCTTGTTTAAATTTAAACGTACTAAACATGGTCTACATATAGTACCGTATGTAAGAACCACTTACAATGTGAGTACTTGCAAGTATTAATTTATAAAATATAATTTTTGAGGAGGTTGACACAGGTGCAGACCCAGAATTAGATGGGAAGCTCGAGTTGCTGGTCCACAGACGCTGGTGACCACCACTCCCACACCCGGGCTCACGGCTCTAACCTGAAGCACCACACATGGGGGGCAGGAGAGAGGGGCTAGAACGAAGACCCACATGGGAATCAGCCAAGCGGCAATTCACAGAAGCCATCTCGTGTACCGTCGCACCAGGGGATGCGCCTACAGTAGTGGGGAGCCACACCGCTACCATAAGTTAAAATGAACCCCGATAACAGCACACTAACACAAAACTCCATAGGACACACCTAGATACTCCCACATTATTCGAACATACGTTGCTTTGTTCTGTTTTGCATTATATGTTGTCATGCAACCTTCATCATGTTTATGGTTTACGGTAACGATTATCTTTCTCAACTACTTGCTTGATTATCGCAGCCCTGCGTGGCTAGCATACTGCATATCTTTACATGCCCTGGACCTGCAAGTCCTACCTCTTTACTGCAAACTAAAAAAGTATGAAACGTTCACTGAAAAATGGCAAAACTTACACAAAAAAAAAAATCTATATAATTTTTTCATCATTGGGGAAAAAAGAAGCCTAGAGTTGTGAGAGCATTGTAAAACCTAGGAGAAAATGGAAATTAAAGAGGCATCTATATTTCAATCTTCTCAGTGAGGTGACCTTTGACACAGACACGGTCACCCCAGAAGTGCCCAACAAGGGATTTGAACCTGGGTACTTTGAGGTCCTGGACCTGCTGTTTCTCCTCTGAGCCAGTATACAGCTCAAGTATCAACCTGAAGTCTGATCTTGCCTTGTATCCAGCACTGGGGGCTGGAATTTACCTGAGACTGCTCCTGTCAATTATGGTCCACCTGTAGCTTATGCCTAATTAGCCAGGTATAAGACACTGCCTCTCCCTGAGGGCAGTGTCAGTTCATTGACTCTTGTTCCAGTGTTTGTGTTCTCCAGTTGGCTCCTGACCTTGGCTTTCTATTCGTGTATCCTGACTGACTTTTGCTTACCCTTGTTTATCCTGACTTCTGGCACACTCTGACCTTTGGCTTACCCACGACAATTCTCCTGCTTGTGTCTGTACCTGTACTGCGACTTGGAGCATTATCCTGCACAGCCCCCGTGCACAGACTCACAGCCCAGATGAATTCTTACCTGACCACCCTGGCCTGTGTTTAATTGCAAGGGTGAGCACATATCTCTACATATTGGACTCCCACTGTGGTAAGCCGTGACAACCTTTTGAACGGCATATTCTTTTTTAGAAGGCTAACATCCAAAGGATCAAAACTTTAGGACTTATGTCAAACTAAGATAATTTTTCTTGTCGTCCCCATATACCTCTAGATTGGTAAGGACACTTTAGAAGCTAGTTATTGAATGTATTATTATATATATTAATAGAGTTATCTTGGAGATTTTTATTTATTTGTCCAATTTCATGTCTTAGATAGAGAAGATATTGAAATCTGTAATTTAATTTTTTTTTTTCTTTTTTCAACTTTAATGCAATCTCCGAAGCCTGATTATGTTTTTTGGGAAAGAGCTTTGTTTGGTAATCAGAAGATTTTTTTATTCCATCAGTAAAATCCTTTTAGTTATTTGTTAATCAGTCGCATTGTCTTTTAATTTACATTGTCGAACTATCTTCCCAGACACCCCTTATCCAAAGTGTCTGCTGTTTTTCATCCAAATAAGTTATTGAGTTTCACAAATTCTTAATCAATTAGATATGGAGGTGTATATTTCATATCCATATGTTCAAAATGAATATATAACCAATTTTTTATAATTTATGATGGACTGCAAATTTATTTGAAGACCAGAAGCACCTATCTAGTTTTTCCATTAGATTAGATAATTGCCATACTCTGCATTTGAACTGAGCAATATGTTTTTGTTTTCCTGTGTTTTTTTTTTCCCATCTACTCATTATATTTTGGAATTAACTTCCCATATACACTTTGCTATGATGAAATACACAAAATAAAAAATATAGCAAGCGCTCAACTGTCTGACATAATCAATGTAACATGCATGAATAGTGCATACTGTGCTATAATGGTACCCAAAAAAAAAAAAAAAAAGTTACCAAAACAGATCAAGTAATAACATAGAAAAAGAGAACCCATAGCACAAAATTATGCCAAAAATATAAACTTTATTCACAAAATTCAATAATGAATTATACACCAATATCATACATAAAGTGCATACATTTAAACCCAAAAGTGCAAAATCAAATATACTGGCCCGGGGCTGAAGACCTGAAAGAACCCCCAAAGGTTTGGCAATGTGCCTTCTGCAAGGGAGGTAGATGGAAGTAGACAAAAACAGCAGTACACCAGACAGATACATACACATGCCATTATAGGGTAACTCCAACCACCATGACCACTTCAGTGATTTGAAGTGGTCATTGTGGTAGGGGTCTGGATGTGCAGTATTTCTGCTCAAAATACTGAACATAAAGATGTGTAATTGTATGCTGGGGCTTAGTTGCACCCTCTCTCCCCCCTTCCCCCAGCACACATGACATTGGCAGCACAGAACTCTGTTCATGGCTGCCTGATGTTGATTAAGTGTATAAAATAGGTCTGTCACAAATGCGCACTGCAGGCTGCCGACAGACCTGAAAATCTTCCCCTTGCAGGCAGAGCGCCAGGAAGGTGCAGCTGGCTCTCCCGCCTTCCTACACTGCTTTCAGCGAATTATTTATTTTTAAGATGAGCTGCCCTCCCCCCTTGTTTCCCCTAGCCAGTCCAGAGCATGCCTGTGCTCTGAGCCAATGAAATGGACCAAATATAGGCTTCTCAGGGGCCCCTGTAATGTCGAAGGGGGCACAGAAGTCAACGCTGTGAGATTTACCCAGCACTGCATTCCAGGTAAGTAAAACTTTTTTTTTATTTTACAGTTTTGGAAGGGAGGACCTTTGTCATAGTGCCCAACAGGGCATTTTACACTGGATAGATTCCCCTCCCCCCCCTCCATAAGGGTTGGAGTACCACTTTAACTAAGATTTATGAATCCTCACATTTTTCTGGATAAACTGTAAATGATGTGGAAGAAAATATCTACCGTGGTTCCATCTTTGCAAAGAAATAATTGTAAAATAAGTTTTAATAGTTCAGCTGTAGCGGTGTGAATTCAGCAACCATACTGGACACGTCTCGAGGGATATCCGAACCAGCCAGAGAAATTAAAGTGAAAAACATCTTACCTAGCATTGCAATTGCTCACCAGATGCTCACCCTTCTTCTTACTATAGGGTGCAAAAACAAGAAGCACAAGGCTGACAAGCCCCCAACTACCAGTGATCTGTTCTGGAGGCCACACACTCCCCTGAGGGATGTCATGGCAATAGGCTTTCAGACAGGCTATCCCAGACGTCCAGACAAGCAACCCTTGCTGATGTGTGGGAGCTGGAAATGCCAGCTGAGAGGAGAGCGGAGATACCTACAGTGCAAACTCATGGTACACTGGTAATAGACGGTACATTGAAGGCCCTTCTAGACAACCTCTGCTACAACATAGTCGCCAACATCAATCTCTTTAGAGAAGAGATCAGCGGAGTGTCTGTGCGCCTCCATGACTTTGAGTTTGGCACTGCTGCCCATGAGGCCTGTCTTTCTGGCTTGGAAGACTAACTGAATGTACTAAAGCATGAACATGCCTAAATCATCAATTGCATGGCGACCATGGAAGATTGTAGGCGCTGGAAGAACATGAAGATGTGTGGCCTACCTGACACTACTGCTGCCATGATACCACATCTGATGTGGAGGCTGCTTGCATATTTATTTATTTTTTCTCTGCCAAACTTATTATCCTGGATGGTAGTTATTGGCTCCACTGACAAGCATTTTAGCAGGGCGCAAAGATATCATTATCCAATTTCAACATGGTCCAGACAAACAAGCTTTAACGGCGGAAATCAGCAACAAATCGTCTTACCGCTTGAAGAGCATTATGTAACATTCTACCTAGATCTATCCAGAGCATCACTGGACTGGCGGAGGTCCCTGCAACCGTTGACTGCAGAAATTACCAACAATAAGGTTTCATAAAAATGGGATACTCTGAGATGCCTTCTGATAACCCGTGACTCTGGGACATTGACTATCTTTGAGGCCACTGAGGTAGCATGTACAGAAGCTCAGGTTGTCCAGAGCTCCTGATAGACCACTACCCCCAGCGCACACAACACATCCTGGGATCCCACCATTTATCCCTGCTGCCCAACGGGGAAATTCTGCAACTGCAGCGATATCTTGAACAACCCACCTGCACCTACATTATTATTGTTATGCTTAGTTATATTGTGTATCTCCTAGTTTAAATTTTCTTTTATTTGGTTCTATCACACAACCCATAGTGTGTTGAGTGTCTTTTGGTACCTGTCCTATTTCTATGCCATCCGCTGGATTGCAGTTAGCGTTCCCATACTCCCCTCCTTCCACTTAAGTTAGCCTTGAGATTTAAATTCTTTATTTTTGAAGTGCATGTTAGAAATGGATGACGAGGGGCGTGGCTCGGCTGAGAATGGAGTAGGACGCAGGCACACTGAGCTCCTAGGCCCCAAGCCGCCAAAGCACCTCAAACGCAGCTCTAAACCCCGAAAAAAATGGGAAAGACGAAACAGGGGGTCGCACCTGGCCCGGTGCAGTCCTCCACTGGCAGGGCCGATGGGCGATTATCTCTCCATACCGCAACCGCTGGCCGGCACACGCGGCTCCGACAATATGGCGCCCGCGTCCCCGGGAACAAGTAGCCGTACGGTCTCCACCCACGGATCCCCAGACCGTGACTCCCCTAGGGATGCCCTCACTCAGATGTCCGCGGACCTCGCTGCGATAGCGGCGAATATGCTCACGCGTGGTGACAAGACTGAACTCATAGCAGAGCTCCGAACCGCCATCTGGGAAGAAATCACGGCCGTGAGGCAGGATCTTACAGTACTGGAGCAGAGAGTGAACGCATTGGAAGTGCACTAGTTACAAGCCACACAGCACCAACAGGTCTCAGAACTGGCAGCCACTAGGCAGGGTAACATCATACTGGACCTGAGACGCCAGATGGAAGACCTGGATAATAGAAGCCGTCGCTATAACATACGTGTTAGAGGAGTACCGTAATCTGACGATGAAACACCACGGGAGCTACTAGAGGGCCTGTTCGCCCAAATACTAGGTGATGAAGCCCGGCCGGATTTTGGCTTGGAAAGAGCCCACTGAGCGCTCGGAGCCCCGCGCAGGGATGGCCAGCCTAGAGATTTAATCTGTTGCCTCCGGTCATTCCAGCTGTAGGAGGCCTTGATGAGAGCGGCACGTACCAAGGACTTATCCAGCTTCACCCTGGACGCTCGACGAGCCCTGAAACCAATCACCTCCGTATTACAGGAGAAGAGGATCCCTTACAAGTGGGGACACCCGTTCAGCCTGCAAGCCAGAGTGGGGAACCAATGGCACATCCTGAGGTGGCCAAATGAAGTCACACGCTTTTTGCGCTCCCTGGGCCTGCCGGACATACCCATACCGAACTGGATCTTGGATTACCCGCCGGTCAGGCCTACTGGACCGATTGCACCGGCAGATATTCTTCGGGAGAGAGGCATACCGGGGCCAACTCAACGCAGGGGTGGTCCTGTGACACCAGAAGAATAAGCTAAGTGAGATCCCCCGGAGCGCTGGGTACCTGGTGAGCCGACCCTGCAGTCACCGGTAGGCCTGAGCGACGAGACAGGACGACTCCTCCCATTGCTCCGAAGGACTTGATGCGGCCCAGAGACACAGGGACTGTCCCACCAGGTTATGTAACGCTCCCCACCCTCCCACACTGTAACCCCAAGTCAGCCCTGAAGGCATCATCACCCAAGGGAGTCACGAAGTTTGGGTGGGGTACAGGACGGGGATAGCGGACCACACCGGGACACCCGGACGCACTGCCCTCACAGGAGTCATCTTTACCCCGGGGGGGGTGGGGGAGAATGGACTGCTTGGGTGGGAGGGTCGGGGTAGAGTGAGCATTACCCCGGCAGTATTGGGGTTTAAGGGACAGTCACATGGAGGGATTGTGGGACTACTGAACATTGCTTATCACAAGGCCAAGGGATCACACGAAGATGAAGAAAAGGGCTACCCGTACACGGACTGTTGTCTGTCTAACACACTTGGACAAAGGGCCGCAAAGAGAACTGAGCGGGGGGAGGCGGGCAGGAGACGGGGGATCCGGCCACGCACCCGGCCCACGCTGGCGCCTGACCCTGGCTCTGCCACCAAGCTAACGCACGCGGCGGCAGGGGTGGGCGTGGAGTGGGGCGGTGGCGTTTCCGGGGGGCTCACGGAGAAACACTGTACGAGGTGACACCGATATATACGCACTACAGAGTGCACGATTCTGTTTTCAGTTCTGTCATAGTTTAACCATGTTTTAAGTTACGGGTCTCACACCGGAGACAGTTCACGGAGGAGACCAAGAAAGTTAGGACCGCCCCTTCCCGTTGCACGCACATACAGACCCGCGGGGATGAAAAGCAAGAAGGTGGGCCCCTACAGGAAGGGAACGAGCACTGACAGCCAACACACGCATGGCCCAATAGAATAGGTAAGACGGAGCTCCACACACGAGGGTCATATCCCGATTAACGCTTGATGCCCGGGGGCGACTGGGCCGGGGACTGTTCCCCACATAACATGAGACAGGGAGGTAAACAGGGAATTTACTTAATTACTGACACCGCCGGCGGGGCGGGAGCTGACGGAGACTGCCGACGACAATACCTACACAGAGGGACAACTTACACCGTAGGAATCCTTCCACGCACCCCGCGCAACTGACCTACACTGTACATACTGGTCAGAGTTTGGAGAGGTCACCCTTAGAGGGCCCCCGAACGACTTCATCTGGCCAAGGTTCGAAGTTGCTACCACTACCCCCACTAACTAGTCCTCTCCCAGACGGTCACACATCCCCTGACTACCCTTTCCCCCTCTTACCTACAGTGCACTGCCCCTCACGGAGAGGGAGTACCCTCTTCTAGTCCCACGCTAAGCCCGGGGGGGCCCCACGCCGGGCGAATATGGCACTATTTAGACCGGCGCAGCTTAATCTGTGGCCCCACAATGTTCGAGGTCTTAATATACCCGAGAGGCGCGCACAGTTAATTCGTAGGCTTTGGGCAGAAAGGGTGTCTGTGGCGTTCCTGCAGGAGACACATTTTAGAGGTAGAGACGCACCGACACTTGAGAACAGGCGCTTCCCACAGGGCTACTATGCGAACCACCCAGATGCAAAGAAGACAGATGTGGCGATCATATTCGCACACACGATACCGTTTAGACACAAAGAGACACTCGCGGACCCAGGCGGCCGATATATATCTTTCTCAAGGGCACCATTGCAGACGTACCATACACTTTCACATGCATATATAGCCCCAATCGTAGACTGCACATCTTCCTCGCTAAGACCCTCTCCAAGCTAGACAGGTTCAGGGAGGGCCTCTTGGTACTGGCCGGAGATCTCAACGCTCCTCTTGACCCAAACTTGGACTCCTCGAGAGGCACTAGCACGGTCCCAGCACACTGTTTGCGCTCGATGCGACGCTCCCTGAACAGGTCAGGGGTAATAGATTGCTGGAGAGTGGCACATCTGGAAGACAGGGACTTTTCCTACTATTCCGCAGTACATAAACACTATAGTAGAATAGACTATGTATTCTTGCCCCAGGAACGCCTGACCCACCTCCAAGAAGCGAAAATTGGAATAATACAGCAATCCGACCACGCGCCAGTACTAATACGGATGAAATCCCCATTGTTCAAACCTGCGGAACGCCAATGGAGGCTCAACGAGTCTCTACTGGATGACCTGGATGCTAGCACGTCGGCTACTTTGACACGAATGCCACCGAGGACATGTCCCCTTTGACGCTATGGGAGGCACATAAATGTGTTATACGTGACCACTTCATATCCATTGGCACACAACGAAGGAAAAACAGAGCTCGTGGCATCACCGACCTTACAAAGAAGATAGCTGACATAGAAAATTCGCACAAACGCACAATGGACGACAACGTTTATTTACAACTCCCATAAGCCCGCAGGGCACTAGCAGACCTCCTATCCCAGGGCCTGCTGCACACCTTACAGAAATCCGCACGGTTCTTCTATGAGCACTCCAACAAGAGCGGTAGACTTTTAGCGAAAATGCTCCAGGAGAAATGGAGATCCCAACATATACACAAGATTCACACACAAAACGGACGAACTGCGGGTATGCAAGAAGGTATCCTGGAAGCCTTCAGGGAATTTTACATGGACCTATACAACCAGTCCCAAGCCCGAACAGAAGGGTCACGGAATACCTGTCCTAGCACGTCACGCGCAAGCTCACGCCAGACCTCGTGGAGGAGCTGGATGGTCCCCCTGACCTTGGAGGAACTTGCGGCGGCCCTGAAGAAATTGAAACCTCACCAGGCCTGGACGGCCTCCCCCTGACGTACCTGCGGACGTACCGGGAGGTGCTCCTACCGAGACTTCTAGCAAGCCTGAATGCCATACGGGACGGAGGAGCATTCCCCGGAGACGCCCTGGTGACAACGATCGCGGTGATCCCCAAGGAAGGGAAGGACCCATCTAATTGCTCTAGCTACAGGCCGATCTCACTGCTGAATGCGGACCTAAAATTGTTCACGAAGGCTCTCTCACTGAGGATATCCCGGATCCTACCAGGCCTGATCCACCCAGATCAGGTTGGCTTCGTCCCAGGTAGGGAAGCTAGGGACGACACCATCCGGGCGCTGAACGTTATCCATTGCGCAAGATCCAGGAGTCGGGATGTCGTCCTCCTCTCGACGGACGCCGAAAAGGAGTTTGATCAGGTGGACTGGATATACCTGAATGAAACGCTACGGCACTTAGGCTTTGGTACGTACATGCGCACATGGATCTCAGCCCTGTACACTACGCCGACCGCCAAGATACGTGTGAACGGTGCCCTGACCAAATCGTTCCCTATACGCAACGGGACCCGCCAGGGCTGTCCCCTGTCCCCCCTCCTGTTTGCCCTCACCCACATAGGGTGGCGGCATACACCGACGATATGCTGTTCTTCCTTGAACAACCCCTGATCTCGGTACCCAGCCTGCTGCAGGCTTTTCGTAGCTTCCGCCAAGTATCCAATCTGAAGCTCAATTTTGATAAGTCGGAAGCAATGCCGATAATGCGGAATGAAGACTGTCCATAGACTCAGTGCCCAATTCACTTTTTCATGGTGCGCAGTGAAGCTGCGCTACCTTGGCACCTGGCTACCGAGAAACCTGGCACAAGTCTACCAGCTGAACTTCCTCCCCCTCCTCAAGAGCATACAGCAGGACCTCCAACGCTGGACGACAAGCTATATCACCTGGTTTGGCCGTATTAATGCAGTCAAAATGAATGTGATGCCACGGCTGCTGTACCTCTTCGCCACCTTGCCGATATCAATACCACATTCCTTCTTCAAAACGGTAGAATCGGCTATCCGCAGGTTTGTATGGAACCACAGACCTTCGCGCATCCGCAGGGCAATCCTGGAGCGGCCCAAGCTGGCTGGGGGACTGGGGATGCCGTCGGCGTCTACTTACTACAGAGCTATGCACCTACACAGAATTATTGACAGGCATGTCAGCTCAAGCCCGAAACATTTTGTGACCATGGAACTCCAGCAAACACAGGGCCTGGGGGGAGCCACATTTACAGAGTTACGCACAGGCAACCCCATGATTGATGCGACTCTCAAAACCTGGTGCAAAACTCGCTACACCCAGCAATTAACAACCTCCCCGAGCCCACTGACCCCAATCACGCACAACCCGGCCCTTGCGGGGGTTTACCCCCGGCGGCGTTCGGGAACTTTCAACAAACGGATTGGATTTACGTGGGCGGGTGGTGCTCGGGGGGGGACGCTTCTACCACTGCACAACTTACTGGGAGACTTGCAACCAACCCAG